AGCCCCTCCGATATGAATATGAAACGCAGAAGACATTGAAAGTTAAATAGTTATTTAAATAGTATATAATTTTCTAAATATTAATGAAAGTTAAATGGGCAGTGTAGCAGGAACTGGTAGTTTCCATTTTCGATGAAGCTTTAAAACAAAAATATATAGAAAACTTTATAGAGGACATAGTATCTTCCTTTAAGCAAATTTAATTTTATGTGTATATTAAATTAGAGACTAGATATTTAACTCTACCATTAATAATGCTATTAATGTTGTTTTAAAGGATTTTTTTATTGAAATCAATTATTTTCTCACTTAAGCTTTGTGTCGTCAGTTTTAAATTGATTATTTGATTTCTGACAAGCAAGGCAAGTGAGCATTTGATTCTAATTATTTGTGAGTAAAATTAATTTCAAATTTTTCTTACAATCCAGGTAATTTAATTTTGAAATCATTATTTCTTCAGGATCATTTTTCGAATATGTTAGATGAACAAAAAAAGTAAAATTAAAAAAACATCACTCAATCTTGTTTTTCTCTCTTCAATTAAGAAAGCAAAATCAGTATTCAACTAATATACATTACTGAATATTAATTAATCTTTAGATTAAAATAAAAGAATAACTCTTCAATTTATTCTATATAAGAGCATTGATAAGAGATTAATCAAAAGAAAAAAATTCATGTTAATTATTTAATTCCAAAAAAATACAAATAATGTTATGAAATAATCATAAAATTAGTAAAATACTTATGACTTTTTCTATATAAAAATAATCATAATTGTTTAATACAAGATAAATGAATTTGATTAACAATTATTATATAAATAGTAAGCAGATAGTAAAAAAATATATAAATAGATAATAGTATCTAAATGGATATTTACACATTGATTGACTTAATTTGAATACAACCAATTCACAAGAGAGAAAACAAAATTTTGAATTAGTATATTAGGTCCTTAATCTGATCAAATAGGAATTTGAAGTTAAGATTATCAGATTCAAAGGGATAGGATTTAGAACTGTTTGTTCTGCTCCTCTTTCAAAAATGTTTTGGTTGACAAATTTTTGATTGCAGCAAAAATCCTAATCGTATAAATTGCTAAGAATGCTACACTCCAAAAAAAATTAGAGTATTAATATTATTTTACATAAGATCATGTAGTGACCTATCATTACTCAAATGGAGAATGTTGTGATTGTGGATATATCGTTAAGATTAATATTTTATTAATTAATAATATTTATTAATTCTACTTTGATTGTCAAAAAGAGGTACTTTTGCAATAGACATCGTGATCACTAATAAAAACACCAATTTTTGAATAATTATTTTGGAGATACAAATTATTTAATCTACATAGAAAATTTGGTAGAGATTTAGATATTTTGTGAGTGTCATTTGACTGTAGTTTGAACAGACCTAAAATTGCTGCTTATAACAGTAAAATGATGTCTTAGTTTTAGGATGCCATTTAAAATTTGAAAATCGAAAATTCTGTAAATATTATGAATGAGAATATGCCCGAGTTCTTCTGACATCAAAAGCACTAAAAAAAAGGTAAAACTTGTATAAACATATATTCAAAGTCCTTAAATTTGTAACTTAAAATGTCAAATAAATTGTATTTTTTCAGGATTTTTGATGATGAAACAAATAAATATCCGAGTTATTTTATGAGTAGCATGTTGATTAGAATTTCAAACCTAATTTATGCAATGATTTCTTGATCCCCTATAATCACTTGTAAAATATAGTGATTTGTGATAGAAACTTTAAAACTTTACTATCATTATTTTTGATGGGTTTTAATGACCCTCAAGAAGCCTACATCGATTTATTAAAGACTAGTAAACTAACCCCAGAGAAATTTAGATAAGTTGGACCGAGCCTGTTATAAAGCACTTTACTTGGTAACATTGTACTTTTAAATAATGGAATTCCATAATTATATAAGGGCTAAGTGAAATTCTATAACGAGAAAAGGAACTAAAAGCAGTATCACTCGAACAAGTCGATGTAGCTTATATTTAACTTTATGTCTTCTTTATTTGGCTCTCTGGGAATAGATGAAATTTACTCCAGTTTTCAAGAAATTGTAAAGTTCTTCGATTATAAATCAGATTCTGAATTTCTTATATGTAGAATTGCTTAAACTGATTATGATCTAATTTAATGTGTAGGAGACATGTGAACAAATAAAAGAATTTTAAAAAAGGCTTAAACAATTATTCAAAACAATCTACTTCTCTTAGTCAATTTTCCAAGAGAATGATCTTCGAAAACTTCTGAAAAATTTTAACTATGAAAGCAGTTTGGATTTACAATAGGTTCTTTTAGTTACTTGTGAAATAATTTAAGATAATGAATAATAATTGTAATTAAAAAGTTCGCTT